AGATTTAACCTTTCACCCTGGCTGGTGTGCTCAGTGGTTAGAGCTTCAGCCTCACACCAAAGGGTCGTGGCTGTGACTCCTCAGAGGGCACACGTCTGGGCTGCAGGTTCGATGCCCGGCCACCGCGGGGGCGCATGCGGGAGGCCGCCAATCGCTGCTCTCACATCAATGTTTTTCTCTCCCTTCCTCCCTCTCAAAAAAAAAACAACAAAACAAAACAAAAAATGGGAAAAAATATATCCTTGGGTAAGGATTAACAACAAAAAAAGATTAACGACTCCTGCAATTAATTTTTTTGTCCTATATAAGTCCTACTAGGTCTCACTCTCTTCCCAGGAAAGTCCTAGTGTTTCACTCAGAAAAGACAAATTAAAGCAGCACTGAATTTTTAGAATGAAAGACAAGATAGAAACGTAGAGACACAGATGATTAATTATGTTTATTTTCTAATAAAAGCAAAACAAAAACAAAATCTCTGTTCATAAGAAAAGGTGATCAAAGTATTGTGCTGAACGAAGCACGTACGTTGTAAACTACGTAGAGCGGTGGTTCAATTCCTTAACTGCGCCCTCTGCCTGCGGGATGGCTGTGAAGGCCTGTGGGCTGAGGGCATTGTGGGCACGGAGTCTCTTTTACCCACTGAGAGGGCCACGGGGAAAGGCGTGTGTCCTGGGACCAGCATCTCGGAAGGGCCGCCCTGGGCAGGTGGGGCCCCGTGGGGGGGGTGGTGCACAGCAGGGGCTCTGTGAACCTGGGCGCACCAGGCAGGGACGCCGCTGGTCCCCTTCCCCAGCAGGGAACACTTTCCTCCCCTGCCGTCTCCACAATAGGGAGGCAGATTGAGTTCTGCCCGAAGGGTGCCTAGGTCACATGCACAGAACCCAAGCAGGACCAGGCAAAGCAGGGTGTTCTGGCTCCATCCTGATGCTCAGGCTAGACCTAGACACTGTTCCCAACCCTGCATTTTGGGCAGATGCCTTCTCCTTCCCACCTCCACCCCCTGGCCTGGCTCCCTCAGTGTCCCCCTCCCGCCACGAGTCAGATGAGCGTTTTAGCAAACAGAACTGTCCCAGGTTCAAATTTTACCAGCGGTGTGGCCTTGGGCAAGTCCCATCTCCTCCGCTGCCAACGGGGGAGGGGGGGATGACAGCCACTTCCTTGGCTCTGTGGCACATACCCTGTGCCTGATGGCAGCTTGGCTGCTCAGTGTGCAGGCTGGCGGTACCCAGAGCCCAGTTTCTGAGCCCTCCTCCCTCAAATGCTCTCTACAGGTGGTCAGGACCCCACTGCCCACCTGGAAGGGCTGCCAGCCTGTGGCCACACCTGCCTGGGATCTGAGAGGTCCCTTGATGGTAACCAGCTCAGCCACAGCACGCTGGTGGGTGGGTCTCATCACCAGCTAGCTCAGCCTGAGACCCCACTTGAGCCAGGTGAGGTGCACCTGACAGAGATCCCGCTGCCTCTGGCAGACAGTGCTGCTCTGGAACAGCTGGGGCCGAAGGCGCCTATGCTGGGGGTTCAGACACGGGCCCCCCATTTGTGAGCTGGGGAGCCTTTGAGGAAACAATGAGCCCACACTCAGTCCACTCCCACCCGCAGACCCTGGCCGCAGCTGGGGTGTGGGGGTGCGCTGCCTTCCCCAGATGGGACCCGCCCGGTTCCAGGAGGAAGTGACAGACACACCCACACAGTCACCAGGTCGGGAAAAGTTTATTAAGATTCACCCATAAGATGACAACAAAGGGGGACAAACACAGGAGGCCCCGATCCGCATCCAGGCTGGTCTGCAGAGGCGGCGCAGATAGAACGGAGTACACGGAACAGGAGCAGGGCTGACCCCACATCCACCGCAGGATGCAGCGAAGCCCAAGCCTGCGCCATACACAGCAGCCCACTCTTCCCACCACAAAGACATGTAAGTGATATGCGACTTCTCTTTACACCCCTTCCTCATAAAAGGTGGTGTGTTTAACACACAGACAGCGTAGCTAGCACAATGCTCCAGCTTACTAAGTTGATAAAGGATTGCCCTGTGGCCAGTTCGCAAGGGAACTAAATGGCTTTGTTCTGAGACGCCTGGGGGATTTCTCTGGTAACAGGCATTTCCAACAGTCATTCTGCCACCAAGAGACATGGAGAAAGGCCCCTGGCAGCCCCCTGATGTCGGGGACATACGAGTAACGTGCCGTGGGGGTGGGCACTCAGTTCCCAAAGGTCCCTGTGGAGCAGCCGCTCCTGAGGATGGGGGCTCAGGCCAGGCCCAGCTGACTGGCTTCCCACAAGGATGTAAGACTGGCTGCAGATGGGCCCCAAACATGCCACTTGTCCCAGGGCTATGCTGAAAAAAACACATTGCCAGAGGGCACTGGGCCAGAGTGCCCCACAGCCACACCCAGCAGTGCTCAGGGAGGGGCCTCAGGGCAGCCCCCCTGCAGGCCTGCAGCCGGCCTACAGCAGCAGAAAGGTGGAGGGGAAGCTCAGAGTCACAGGAGACGACGAGATGGGGCCTGCCAGGACCCAGCACAGCCTTCCCGGTGTGCTGGCTACAGGTGGACAGGAGCCAAAAAGCTTGGGAAGACTCACGTTTTGCTGCATCTTTTCTAGTTGGCGCAAGTCTAGGGGTTTGTTGTTAGTATACTGAGTGTGGTCTGGACAGGCTCCGTCACTGCTGCGGGGCCCGCGGGCCACAGGGCACCTCTCAGAGTCATCTTTAAACAGCCCCCCCCCCGCCCCCAGGCTAGGTGGCCTGTGCCCAGAGAGCTGGGGAGGTGGTACCCTCTCCACAGTCCTACGACCACTCCTGCCTCTCACAGCCCTCACCTCAGAGAGGGCTGGACCTACTACTCCCCACACTGGTGCCTTCAGGAAACACACCTGAGGACTGTGGATCCACTGACCTCCCAGGAGGGCCTTCCTGTCTTGTCTCCTCCAGGGAACACTGCAGATGTCAGCATGCCCTACCTGGCCTATGGGGACTCCAGGGTGCAGGGGACAGTGGCTGGCATGCTCAGGGAAGGTTGGATACTTCCAGCTGGGACACCTGCCCCCCCCCCCC